GGCTTCTTCTTATCAACAGAAAGAGATTTTGCCGAACCTACAAGGGTTGAACTGTTTGAGATTACGAGCCAAATAATAGTACATTTAAGTAAAAGGAGGAGGAAAAAAAAGGTGCTATGGAGGTTGGAGGATGGAATCCGGTGCTAAGAAGACGACGTGTGGCTAACCAAAATAGTAGATCAGTGGATTATGGCGTGTTTACTATCTTTGTGGATGAGATCCCACACTCAATGACTCCAAAGTGTTTGTTTACTCTGTTTAATAAGTTTGGTGTAGTTAAGGATGCCTTCATCCCGTCAAAAAGACGAAAAGCGACGGGATCGAGGTTTGGTTTTGTGAGATATGACTGCAAGGTGGCTGCTAAAATGGCGGTGATGAAGGCTAATGGCTTATGGTGCGATAATAAGGCTCTAAAAGTAAAGAAAGTATAGTTCAAAAAAGGAGAGTTTAAGCAGCAGGCAATGAAAAACAGAGGAGACGGTCCGATGATGCAGTGCCCACAAAGGAGTTTTGGGCAAAGAAGGATGGATAGTATAGGTCGAAGATCTTTTGCAGAAGTAGTCCAGAGTGGTGGCAGTAATGAGAAGATGAAGTCGGTTGTAAAGGCAGTTGAAGCTGGCAATGGGTGACTCTATGACAGTGTAATAGTGAAGTTGAAATCATTCCTCTCCTTTGATGAGTTTAAAAATGAGGTCGGTAAAAGAGGTATGGAGGAAGTAAGAGTCAGAGAAGGAGGAGGAAGGGTAGCAGTGCTAACTTTCAAGTCCCAAGAACATAAAAGGGAGGCTAGATCCAAGCTAGAAGAGTGGATGCTAGAATGGTGTGAGTCTATTACAGATTGGGAGAAAGGCAAGTATGTTGAACAAGAAATGTGTGTGTGGCTCATCTGTGTAGGTGTACCATTTAATTTGTGGAGTGTCAATACATTTAGAGACATTGGCAAGCTGTGGGGTGAAGTTGTCCAATTTGATAATGATACTACTAGCCAGAATTCTCTTCAGTGGGGGAATGTACGAGTAATCACTTCCAGGATGGAATTCGTTAATACAGTGATCCATGTTGAATGTAATGGAAGCCTATTCCCAGTTAGAGTGTGTGAAGAGATCCCAGCAGCAATAAAGCCGTATCATTGCAACAGTTTCTGCACGGATAATGAGGTCATTGGTTTTATGGCTCAAGATGTAGTAGATCAACTGTCAAAAAATGGTGGGACAGATAAGGAGGAACATGAAGATGAACACACAGGAAAGGAGAAGCTAAGCAGGAAAGATGAGGTATCAGGTGATGAGCAGGATATGGTGGACTGCGATGCAGGGGAAAAAGATGAAGGTAATGAGTGTCTATCTGTATCAGCCGTAAAAGAAACTGAGGATGACATGGGAAATCAAAAAGTCAGAGGAGATAGGTTGGAGGTCAGTCTGGTGAATACGGCAACCCCAAGAAATGAAATTCAAATTGTTGAAGGCCATGTATATACTCCTGGGTTTATCAGAAGCCATAGTGGGCCAGAGAGTTTAAGGCCTAAATTAAACTTAGAGGTGGTGCTGGAAGGGTCTCAGGATGGGGTTCAGGAGAATAGGCCCATCACTGACCATTCAAATTTAAGTGACTATGTAGCCCCAACTCAACTTAGGCCCCTTGCTCAACAAAAAGCCAAGTCAAGAGTAACAGAACAAGACAATCTAGCAAGGAGGGGAAAGCCCACTAAACTAGTGGTAAATAGTTGTAATAAGGATGGAGGTAAACTGTGAAATAGGTCAAAACTGAATAAAAATCAGAGCAAGCAAAAAGGTGTGCTGCGTAGCAAATGTTTCAAGCAAGGAGCTATCTTCAGAGTAGCAGCAGCTGCTATATCAATGTCAGTTGAGCAGAGTCTTAACACTAGGAGGAGAAATAAGTTATTCAATGAAGCTCAAGCTACCATGGAAGTTGGGAAAATTCTGGGATTGGACTTTGAAGGCAAGGAGAATGAGGTGATTGGCAAGCTGGTTGAACTCGAACAGAAGGATTTGGTGAGAGTAGAAGGGGAAGGTGTAATTCCATAAGTCTGGTCAGGACTTATGGCAGGAGGTTTTCGAATATGTGTAGATTTTTATGATTTTATTATCATGGAATATTAGGGGTCTGCAAAGACCCGATAAGAGAACAAAAATAAAAAGTGTAGTTCGGGTGAGGAAGGTAGATATCCTTCTGCTACAGGAGACAAAGAGAAGCACAGTAGATGACATTTTTGTAAAGTCCTTATGGCCGTGGGAGGAGCTGGAGTACATGGAGGTGGGTGCAGAAGGAAGCGCTGGTGGTTTGCTATGCTTGTGGAACCCACTGATTTTTGAGCTAAAGGAGTGTTGCTGCTCCAGGAACTTCATGCTTTTATCAGGTATGGTCCATCATACTTTCAACTGTACTCTTATCAATGTTTATGCACCCAATGATGTGCTCAAAAGAAGACAACTTTGGGAGTCCCTATCAACACTGAAATCATCTTTCACAAGCCCTTGGTGTATAGGTGGTGACTTTAATGAAATCAGATTTACAAGCGAAAGAAAAGGGTGCTCTCGAGAGGGAAAGAGGGATGAAGGATTTTAACGAATTGATTGAAAAATTGGAGTTGGTAGATATGCCAATGTTAGTTAGGCAATTCACTTGGTATAATGCGATGGATGGAAATAGATGGAGTAGAATCGATAGATTTTTAATTGATCCTAGGTGACTGGAAGATTTCAAGTTCAAACAGTGGGGTTTGCCTAGGAGCATTTCTGATCACTGTCCAATACTTCTTATGGAGGATGAGAGGGATTGGGGTCCAAAACCATTCCGGTTTATTAATGCATGATGTTTGCATCCCAAATTCAAAGAAGAAGTGAAGAACTGTTGGGAAGGTTACCAGGTTAGTGGTTGGGCTAGCTACAGGATTTTGAAAAAGTTAGGAAATATGAAAGTCCATTTGAAGAGGTGGAACTGTGAAGTCTTTGGTAACATTGATGAGAAGTTGAAACAAGCAGAGGATGAACTGCATGAGTGGGATTTAATAGCTGAAGGAAGGAATCTACAGGAGGCTGAGATCAAAAGTAGGGCAGAAATAAGAAAAGTAGTTTGGGATCTGAGTAAGAAGAAGGAATGGTTGTGGATCCAAAAATATAGAAGGGTATGGGCTGAAAATAGGGATAAAAATACCTTATTTTTTCATTTAATGGCAACCAAAAGGCAGAGGATAAACTTGTTAAACTCAGTTACTGTGAATAGTGTGATTCATGATGAGCCTGGGATGATTAAACAGGCAGTGGCAAGTCATTTCAATTACCTTTTCACTGAAGATTGGAAGAGTAGACCAAAGTTATCAGGTCTTTTTAACTCAGTCAGTACAACTGATTCATCTGAGGTGTTAGAGGCAGAATTTTTGGAGGATGAAATCTGGGAAGCAATTAAAGATTGTAAGGGGAATAAAGCTCTGGGGCCGGATGGTTTTAATCTAAAATGTATTCAAAAGTGTTGGGCCATCATGAAAGGTGAGTTTGTGCAATTGATGAATGAGTTTCATTCTAATGGAAAGCTAGCTCAAGGAATAAACAGTTCATTCATTACCTTAATTCCTAAGAAGGAAAATCTTGTGGGGTTGGGGGATTATAGGCCAATCAGCTTGATTAGCTCCGTATACAAAATCATAGCTAAAGTCTTATCAAGAAGGCTGAGGAAAGTGTTGCCTAAGGTTATTAGTGAAGTTCAAACTGCATTTTTGAGTGGAAGGCACATTATAGATGGGGTTCTAATTGCCAATGAAGTGGTGGACTGGTGGAAAAGGTTAAAGAAGAAAGGTCTCATCCTAAAGCTGGATTTTGAAAAGGCATATGACTCCGTAAATTAGGAGTTCTGGTACTCGATGATGAAAATTTTCGATTTTGGAGAGAAATGGGTAGGGTGGATGAAGACTTGCATATCCACAGCTCGAATTTCAGTGCTAGTAAATGGCTCACCAACGTCTAAGTTTTCTTCCATGAAAAGGCTTAGGCAAGGAGATCCTCTTTCTCCTTTTCAATTTAATATTGTTGCGGAGGGTCTGAACATTCTCTTGGAAAGAGCTGAGGAAATGGGCCTGATTAGAGGAGTCTCTACAGGACCAACTGAGTTGAAAATTACACACTTACAGTTTGCCGATGATACCATTATTTTTTGTGAAGCTGAGTGGGAGAAAGTTGTAGCCGTGAAAAGAATTTTAAGGTGCTTTAAGTTGATGTCTGGACTCAAAATAAACTTCCATAAAAGTAAGGTGTGTGGGGTAGGTGTGCAGGATGATATTGTCCAGGTCTTTGCAATAAATTGTCTAAGTCAAAAGTTGCCAATGAGTTATCTGGGGTTACCATTAGAAGCAAATCCAAGGAGAAAGGCTTCTTGGAAACTTGCGATAGACAAGTTTAAGAGCAAGCTAGCTTCTTGGAAGAGAAGGTATTTATCTTTTGCTGGAAGATTAGCATTGATCAAGTCCGTCTTGTCAAGCTTACCAGTATATTTCCTATCATTCTTCAAGCTGCCAGTGGGTATTGCAAAAGCACTACACAGTATTCAAGCCAACTTTCTATGAAGAGGGTCTGAAATCAGGAAGAAAGTGCACTTAATAAACTAGAAGGAGATATGCCTAAGTAAAACTAAAGGTGGGCTAGGTGTGAGAAATTTAAACTAGGTTAATGAGTGCCTATTAGTTAAATGGTGATGGAGGTATGGCAAGAAGGAGGCAGCTTTGTGGAAACAAGTGATATGTAGCAAGTATGGAGGTCTAGGTGGTGGATGGTGCCCCTTATTTATTAGTTCAGTATGGTTGTCGCATACGTGGAAAGATATAATATCATCAGCTGTAGCTAACACTGCTTTGCGTGATTTTTTCTTGCAAAATTTCAGGTTAGTTGTTGGTAATGGTAAAAGACTGCATTTTTGGATTGATAGGTGGTGCCACAACCAAAATCTGAGTGTGTCTTTTCCCAGATTATTCTCATTATCAGTTGATAAAGATGGAAAGTTGTTTGATTTTTTTTCACCGAAGAGTGGCAGATTCAGACTGGAATCTGGCTTTCAAAAGACCTCTTTTAGCATGGGAAGAGGAGGAAGTGCAAAAACTTAACGATCTCCTGCAGAATGTGCCTAGGCTCAATGAAGGAGTGACAGATTCTTGTTCTTGGGTAGCTCATCCGTTTGAAGAGTTCACTGTGGCATCAACTTGGAAGTGGATGGAAGCAAGTCAAGGGGTAGATTGTACAGTCACTAGGTGTATTTGGAACAATCTAGCCCCTCCCAAAGTTCAATTCTTGAGTTGGCTAGCGTTGAGAGGTAAGATTAAATGCTCTGAATTTTTGCAAAGAATTGGAGTGTTGAGTCCAAATGTCTCTGCTCTCTATGTGTTCTGCAGAGTTGAGGTGGAGTTTGTAAATCATGTTCTCCTCCACTGTCCTTTCATTTGGAAATTGTGGGCCAATTTAATGAACTGGTGGAATTACAATTGGGTTATTCTTGGTTCAGTGGAGGGTTTACTTCTGTCGTGGGCAGGTATAAAAATGAAGAAGAAGATGCAAGCAGTTTGAAAAATACTACCGCTAGCAGTTATGTGGTCAGTGTGGAAGAGTAGAAATGATTGTTTATTTAATAAGGTACAACCGAATTGGAATGCCTTGGAAGACCTGGTAAAGGCTAGAGTTGCTTTGTGGGTTTCTTCATCTTTGAAGGGGTTTAACTATTCGGTGCAAGATATTATGTATAACCTGAATCAAGTGTGTCTCTGTGCGTAATTCAGTGCTGAATTGCTGGTCTATAGGGATGGAATGATGATCTGGTTTTTGTGGCTGGTATGTTCTGAATTGATGTCCTCGGCTGGTTTGTGTTGGCTTCTGCTGGTTTGTCCTGAACCTTGGTCTGCTTTGTTTCTGTGCTGGTCCTGATTCAAGGTCTGGATTGTATTAATGAATTCTGAAGTCTGTTTTGAGCTGGTGATCAAATGGTCCAGTTGGCTATGGTTGGGTCTTTGGTCTGGATTGTATTTTCAAGTCTCAATTCTGTTTGATTCAGTTGACAGAGTTGGCTGGGTCTATACTTTGTTATGCTCTCAGTTGGGCAGTCCTGAATTCTGGTGTATTATTAAGTTTCAATTCTGTTTTGATCCAGTTGTCAGACAGAGGAGTGTCCATCTGCATTCTTGGTATGCACTCAAAATTTGCAGAGGTGGCTGGTTCTGGTTCCTCACCAACTGGCGTTTGGAGCTTCGTTTTAGCTCCAAAATCCTCTTTATTGATGTACTGTTCCATACTTTGTATGTTGTTATCAATAAAGATTTTCTTTGCCGATAAAAAAAAAAGAAGAAGAAGTTTGACATTATTGCTATAATTTGACATGGAATATATCACATCAATAGGGATGAATTTAAAAGAATTATTGTCAAATTTTGACTTTAGTATAGAGAATAACACACAATTAGAGTTGTTCTAAATTCATTACAAAATTGGTATAACAACTAGGTACATATAAGAGGGTTAGGGATCTTTTATCACAAAAATCTTTATTTTTTTGTCTCAATTTACTCACAGTCACCGAATCACGTAAAAAATTTGAGATACAAAAATTTGAATTTTTTTAATACATAGGATCCTCAAACATATAGGGGGCTCTAATTTGCATAATAACATTAAATAACAGGGACAAACCAATGTGCTAGTAAGGTGGAAGAGAACACCTAAATTAAACTAGTAGTCACAAGCAACTAACTAGTCATCACATAGTGCTCATGGCATGACAGGTGCTTGTATGGTGGACACACTCTCCTCACCCTCCCAAGCCCACTTGCCACCACCTTTTGATGAGAGAGAAAGATAGAGTTTTAGACATAGAAACCTATATTTCTATCAAATTATAATTTAAAGAATCATTTGAGGAGAAGAAAAAACAAAAAAGAAAAAGAAAAAAAAGAAAAAGAAAAAGAAAATAAAAGTAATGAGTTTGCTACACACTTGCTCATGCTTGCATATCTCATACTTGGCTTAAAGAGGACATGGAGTGAATGAGGTGGGATAGCATGCTTTTAACGTGCAGTACCTTGCTTTTAATGCTTGTTAAGTATAAAACCGACTTAATTTTTGAATAATTCTATGGATACATAACTTATTATAGAATTGATCACAAAAAATAATAAGTGAAATAATGTGATTGAATTCGTTTTTCCAATAGCAGATCCTATTATAGAATTTGTTTGACTAATATTATTTTATGTAATTGATTATGTAATTTGTTATATGTCTATAAAGTTATTGGGAATTGTTACCCTAATTTTACCTAATTACCCCTCTCTTTCTTCTTATCCGCACCTCTAATTTTCACCTATTTTTTCTTATTAAAATAGCATACATTATTAATTGCATAAGTGCTTGGATTTCGCTAATGACAAGTTTCTAGCAAATTAAAAATTAATAGTAAAGCATTGCACAACTTTTTGAAGTTACTTTTTAATCTATTTAAATTATTTTTTGTTCATAAAAATAGAGTGTGCATCAAATATTTAGACATACACTCTCAAAATAAAAATCATAAATACATTTTATAAATTATAACAAACAAAGCTAGAGATTAGAAAATAAGTGAGCAACTCTTGCTAACATCGTCCATAAATACGTTTTTGAAAAATGACATTTCTTATTGAACGAATTTTACCTTCTTTTTATTTTTATTTTTTAAAATTTTTTTATTACTTGGATTCACATAGGACGCATCATACTTTTAATAATAAATAAAATTTGCTATCATCTTTTAGATATAAAAGCCCTATCGATCCACATAGTAATAAAATATAATAAAACTAATTCGGTAATATATAATGATGAGGACACCGTCCCATATCATTTGGGAGGGACTCTCACTCCCACCTTATAAACGTACTGGTCTCCTCCACCATGTACAAGGCCTTTTCTCTCGAGGTAGAACAAAATTGTGAGGCTTTAGTCAAAATCGACAATATCTGCAGGGGTGTGAGAGGGCCAAGCATGCAAATTTGGCACTAGAAGGAGAGCGGTCCAATCCACTCAGGGGCTATGATGAGAACACTGTCCCAAATCGTCTGGGAGAGACTCCTCTTTCACCATGCAATGTGGGACAGGGTCCTCTTAGAATGGTTAATAAAAAAATGTCCAACAAATTTTTATTTTTCATGAGTAAATATACATGATGTTTTAATCAAATTTTTTTTTACCGAACATAAAAAATAATATGATAAATATAAATGGCCTAGTACAATTTGTATTTCGTTAGTTCATTTCGGACCTATTTCGATAATTCAAATTATATCAGTATTTACATAATCGTATATGTATATATATGCTGCATTGTTTTGTGATCGATCGTGTAGAAATTAATGTCTAATTAATTTAATTTTTTTTATAAATACATTTCATAATAATCATACATGATAAACCGTTAAATTATAATCGAAATAGGTCCACAAAATACAAACTATACAGTCGAATCCATTTTTGTAAGCAGGAACCACTGCTTTACTCTAGCGGTAAAAATTTGTTAACAAATCAACAATAACTCAAAAAAATACCGGTAAAAGTATTCAGAAACGTGCATCTATACACCATAATTTTTTCTAACTTTTCACTAATTTTAAATTTACATCATCCACGTTATTTTCATGATAAAATTTAATGGTACATAATGTTTTTGATAACCAAATTTTTAAATTTTTTTATAATTAAAGTTGGAAACGCAAGGAAGATTGGTGGCAGACTTCAAGGTAAACTATTCACGAGAAGGGGTGGCTTTTATAACTCCAAAAAAACGCCTATTTTACCCATTCACTATATAAGCCATCTCCCCTCTCTCCCCCTTCTCTTCCTTCATTCCCCCCCTCCCCACCATACTCTAATTTTCTCAGTCTCACTCTTACTTTCTCTCTCTTCCTTTTTGTGTTTATTTTTTTTTTCTCTTTGCTAGAATGGACATGGAATCCCCAGAAGAATTCACTGGCTCCAACGATCACACCCTGATTTTAAGACGTAAGCGTACTAAGCGAGAAAGGCCTCCCTCTCCCTCTCCCCCGGCGCCAACAACCTCTACCGCCTCTAGCGGTGGCGGTGGCAGTGGCGGTGGCGGTGGCGGTGGCAGTGGAGATTTTTATTCTTCTTCAATTCCATCTCCGACAACCTCCTCTGGTGAGATTTCCACTAGCGTGGATGAAGATGAAGACATGGCCAATTGCCTAATTCTCTTAGCTCAAGGTGTTGGGCCAACAGGCCCAACAACGCTAGAGGAAGAGGGCACAACAACAATTGGAAAAGTCCGGTTCTATGTCTATGAGTGTAAGACTTGCAACCGGACTTTCCCTTCATTCCAGGCCCTTGGGGGCCACCGAGCCAGCCATAAGAAGCCTAAAGTGGAAGAGAAGAGGATAATTCTTGTGACACCGCCATCACCAGAAGAAGAAAAAGAAGAAGAAGCGCGATTCAATGGAAAGAGGGATGAAGGATTTTAACGAATTGATTGAAAAATTGGAGTTGGTAGATATGCCAATGTTAGGTAGGCAGTTCACTTGGTGTAATGCGATGGATGGAAATAGATGGAGTAGAATCGATAGATTTTTAATTGATCCTAGGTGGCTGGAAGATTTCAAGTTCAAACAGTGGGGTCTGCCTAGGAGCATTTATGATCGCTGTCCAATACTTCTTATGGAGGATGAGAGGGATTGGGGTCCAAAACCATTCCGGTTTATTAATGCATGGTGTTTGCATCCCAAATTCAAAGAAGAAGTGAAGAACTGTTGGGAAGGTTACCAGGTTAGTGGTTGGGCTAGCTACAGGATTTTGGAAAAGTTAGGAAATCTGAAAATCCATCTGAAGAGGTGGAACTGTGAAGTCTTTGGTAACATTGATGAGAAGTTGAAACAAGCAGAGGATGAACTGCATGAGTGGGATTTAATAGCTGAAGGAAGGAATCTATAGGAGGCTGAGATCAAAAGTAGGGCAAAAATAAGAAAAGTAGTTTGGGATCTGAGTAAGAAAATGGAATGGTTGTGGCTCCAAAAATCTAGAAGGGTATGGGTTGAAAATGAGGATAAAAATACCATATTTTTTCATTTAATGGCAACCAAAAGGTAGAGGATAAACTTGTTAAACTCAGTTACTGTGAATGGTGTGATTCATGATGAGCCTGGGATGATTAAACATACAGTGGCAAGTCATTTCAATTACCTTTTCACTGAAGATTGGAAGAGTAGACCAAAGTTATTAGGTCTTTTTGACTCAATCAGTACAAATGATTCATCTGAGGTGTTAGAGACAGAATTTTTTGAGGATGAAATCTGGAAAGCAATTAAAGATTGTGAGGGGAATAAAGCTCCTGGGCTAGATGGTTTTAATCTAAAATGTATTCAAAAGTGCTGGGCCATCATGAAAGGTGAGTTTGTGCAATTGATGAATGAGTTTCATTCTAATGGCAAGCTAGCTCAAGGAATAAACAGTTCATTCATTACCTTAATTCCTAAGAAGGAAAATCCCGTGGGGTTGGGGGATTATAGGCCAATCAGCTTGATTAGCTCCGTATACAAAATCATAGCTAAAGTCTTATCAAGAAGGCTAAGGAAAGTGTTGCCTAAGGTTATTAGTGAAGTTCAAACTGCATTTTTGAGTGGAAGGCACATTATAGATGGGGTTCTAATTGCCAACGAAGTGGTGGACTGGTGGAAAAGGTCAAAGAAGAAAGGTCTCATCCTAAAGCTGGATTTTGAAAAGGCATATGACTTTGTAAATTGGGAGTTCTTGTACTCGATGATGAAAAATTTCGGTTTTGGAGAGAAATGGGTAAGGTGGATGAAGACTTGCATATCCACAGCTCGAATTTCAGTGCTAGTAAATGGCTCACCAACGTCTGAGTTTTCTCCCATGAAAGGGCTTAGGCAAGGAGATCGTCTTTCTCCTTTTTCTATTTAATATTGTTGCAGAGGGTCTGAACATTCTCTTGGAAAGAGCTAAGGAAGTGGGCCTGATTAGAGGAGTCTCTGCAGGACCAACTGAGTTGAAAATTACACACTTACAGTTTGCCGATGATACCATTATTTTTTGTGAAGCTGAGTGGGAGGAAGTTGTAGCTGTGAAAAGAATTTTAAGGTGCTTTGAGTTGATGTTTGGACTCAAAATAAACTTCCACAAAAGTAAGGTGTGTGGGGTAGGTGTGCAGGATGATATTGTCCAGGTCTTTGCAAAAAAACTAAATTGTCTTAGTCAAAAGTTGCCAATGAGTTATCTGGGGTTACCATTAGGAGCAAATCCAAGGAGAAAGGCTTTTTGGAAACCTGTGATAGACAAGTTTAAGAGCAAGCTAGCTTCTTGGAAGAGAAGGTATTTATCTTTTGCTGGAAGATTAACATTGATCAAGTCCGTCTTGTCAAGCTTGCCAGTATATTTCCTATCAATCTTCAAGCTGCCAGTGGGTATTGTAAAAGCACTACACAGTATTCAAGCCAACTTTCTATGGGGAGGGTCTGAAATCAGGAAGAAAGTGCACTTAATAAACTGGAAGGAGATATGCCTAAGTAAAACTAAAGGTGGGCTAGGTGTGAGAAATTTAAACCAGGTTAATGAGTGCCTATTAGTTAAATGGTGGTGGAAGTATGGCAAGGAGGAGGCAGCTTTGTGGAAACAAGTGATATGTAGCAAGTATGGAGGTCTAGGTGGTGGATGGTGCCCTTTATTTATTAGTTCAGTGTGGCTGTCGCATACGTGGAAAGATATAATATTAGTGGTTGTAGCTAACACTGCTTTGCGTGATTTCTTCTTGCAAAATTTCAGGTTAGTTGTTGGTAATGGCAGAAGACTGTATTTTTGGACTGATAGGTGGTGCCACAACCAAAATCTGAGTGTGTCTTTTCCCAGATTATTCTCATTATCAGTTGATAAAGATGGAAAGTTGTTTGATTTTTTTCACCGAAGAGTGGCAAATTTAGACTGGAATTTGGCTTTCAGAAGACCTCTTTTAGCATGGGAAGAGGAGGAAGTGCAAAAACTTAATGATCTCCTGCAGAATGTGCCTAGGCTCAATGAAGGGGTGGCAGATTCTTGTTCTTGGATAGCTCATCCGTCTGAAGAGTTCACTGTGGCATCAACTTGGAAGTGGATGGAAGCAAGTCAAGGGGTAGATTGTACAGTCACTAGGTGTATTTGGAACAATCTAGCCCCTCCCAAAGTTCAATTCTTGAGTTGGCTAGCGTGGAGAGGTCGGATTAAATGCTTTGAATTTTTGCAAAGAATTGGGGTGTTGAGTCCAAATGTCTCTGCTCTCTGTGTGTTCTGCAGAGTTGAGGTGGAGTCTGTAAATCATGCTCTCCTCTACTGTCCTTTCATTTGGAAATTGTGGGCCAATTTAGTGAACTGGTGGAATTACAATTGGGTTATTCCTGGTTTAGTAGAGGGTTTACTTCTGTCGTAGGCAGGTATAAAAATGAAGAAGAAGATGCAAGCAGTTTGGAAAATACTACCGCTAGCAGTTATGTGGTCAGTGTGGAAGAGCAGAAATGATTGTTTATTTAACAAGGTACAACCGAATTGGAATACCTTGGAAGACCTGGTAAAGGCTAGAGTTGCTTTGTGGGTTTCTTCATCTTTGAAGGGGTTTAATTAGTCGGTGCAAGATGTTATATATAACCTGAATCAAGTTTGTCTCTGTGTGTAATTCATTGCTGACTTGCTGGTGCTCTGCAGTTTGATTCTGGTTTATGGGGCTAAAATGATGTCTTGGTTGTTGTGGCTGAATCGATGATCTGGTCTGAGCTGGTCTGTGCTGACCCTAGTTTGCTTGTTTCTGTGCTGCTCCTGATCTATAGGCTGGATTGTGGTATTGAATTCTGAAGGCTGTCTTGAGCTGGCTTTGGAAGGGTTCAGTTGGCTGGATCTCTGTTTTGTTTTAGAGTCAGTTGGGCTAGATGGTGTTGATGTTCTGAATTCTGTTTTTGTTTCAGTTGGTAGGCAGAGGAGCTTCATTCAGATGTTTTGTTATGCATTAAGTTGGGCTGGATTGTGTTGATGTCTAAATTTTGTTTTGATTTAGTTAACAGGCAGAGGAGTCTGTTTAGATTCAGCTGGGTTGGATTATGCAGAGGAGTTTGATTCAGAATAATTAAGTACATTGGTGGCAGTTTTGTTCTGTTGTTTTTTTTGCTGTGTTTTTTTTTCCCCTTTCTTCTTCTCTTGTTCTCTTTTGGTTGGTTCCTCACCAACTGGCGTTTGGAGCTTCGTTTTAGCTCCAAAATCCTCTTTATTGATGTACTGTTCCATACTTTGTATGTTGTTATCAATAAAGATTTTCTTTGCCGATAAAAAAAAAAGAAGAAGAAGTTTGACATTATTGCTATAATTTGACATGGAATATATCACATCAATAGGGATGAATTTAAAAGAATTATTGTCAAATTTTGACTTTAGTATAGAGAATAACACACAATTAGAGTTGTTCTAAATTCATTACAAAATTGGTATAACAACTAGGTACATATAAGAGGGTTAGGGATCTTTTATCACAAAAATCTTTATTTTTTTGTCTCAATTTACTCACAGTCACCGAATCACGTAAAAAATTTGAGATACAAAAATTTGAATTTTTTTAATACATAGGATCCTCAAACATATAGGGGGCTCTAATTTGCATAATAACATTAAATAACAGGGACAAACCAATGTGCTAGTAAGGTGGAAGAGAACACCAAAATTAAACTAGTAGTCACAAGCAACTAACTAGTCATCACATAGTGCCCATGGCATGACAGGTGCTTGTATGGTGGACACACTCTCCTCACCCTCCCAAGCCCACTTGCCACCACCTTTTGATGAGAGAGAAAGATAGAGTTTTAGACATAGAAACCTATATTTCTATCAAATTATAATTTAAAGAATCATTTGAGGAGAAGAAAAAACAAAAAAGAAAAAGAAAAAAAAGAAAAAGAAAAAGAAAATAAAAGTAATGAGTTTGCTACACACTTGCTCATGCTTGCATATCTCATACTTGGCTTAAAGAGGACATGGAGTGAATGAGGTGGGATAGCATGCTTTTAACGTGCAGTACCTTGCTTTTAATGCTTGTTAAGTATAAAACCGACTTAATTTTTGAATAATTCTATGGATACATAACTTATTATAGAATTGATCACAAAAAATAATAAGTGAAATAATGTGATTGAATTCGTTTTTCCAATAGCAGATCCTATTATAGAATTTGTTTGACTAATATTATTTTATGTAATTGATTATGTAATTTGTTATATGTCTATAAAGTTATTGGGAATTGTTACCCTAATTTTACCTAATTACCCCTCTCTTTCTTCTTATCCGCACCTCTAATTTTCACCTATTTTTTCTTATTAAAATAGCATACATTATTAATTGCATAAGTGCTTGGATTTCGCTAATGACAAGTTTCTAGCAAATTAAAAATTAATAGTAAAGCATTGCACAACTTTTTGAAGTTACTTTTTAATCTATTTAAATTATTTTTTGTTCATAAAAATAGAGTGTGCATCAAATATTTAGACATACACTCTCAAAATAAAAATCATAAATACATTTTATAAATTATAACAAACAAAGCTAGAGATTAGAAAATAAGTGAGCAACTCTTGCTAACATCGTCCATAAATACGTTTTTGAAAAATGACATTTCTTATTGAACGAATTTTACCTTCTTTTTATTTTTATTTTTTAAAATTTTTTTATTACTTGGATTCACATAGGACGCATCATACTTTTAATAATAAATAAAATTTGCTATCATCTTTTAGATATAAAAGCCCTATCGATCCACATAGTAATAAAATATAATAAAACTAATCGGTAATATATAATGATGAGGACACCGTCCCATATCGTTTGGGAGGGACTCTCACTCCCACCTTATAAACGTACTGGTCTCCTCCACCATGTACAAAGCCTTTTCCCTCGAGGTAGAACAAAACTGTGAGGCTCTAGTCAAAATGGACAATATCTGCAGGGGTGTGAGAGGGCCAGGCATGCAAATTTGACACTAGAAGGAGAGCGGTCCAATCCACTTGGGGGCTATGATGAGAACACTGTCCCAAATCGTCTGGGAGAGACTCCTACTTTCACCATGCAATGTGGGACAGGGTCCTCTTAGAATGGTTAATAAAAAAATGTCCAACAAATTTTTATTTTTCATGAGTAAATATACATGATGTTTTAATCAAATTTTTTTTTACCGAACATAAAAAATAATATGATAAATATAAATGGCCTAGTACAATTTGTATTTCGTTAGTTCATTTCGGACCTATTTCGATAATTCAAATTATATCAGTATTTACATAATCGTATATGTATATATATATGTTGCATTGTTTTGTGATCGATCGTGTAGAAATTAATGTCTAATTAATTTAATTTTTTTTATAAATACATTTCATAATAATCATACATGATAAACCGTTAAATTATAATCGAAATAGGTCCACAAAATACAAACTATACAGTCGAATCCATTTTTGTAAGCAGGAACCACTGCTTTACTCTAGCGGTAAAAATTTGTTAACAAATCAACAATAACTCAAAAAAATACCGGTAAAAGTATTCAGAAACGTGCATCTATACACCATAATTTTTTCTAACTTTTCACTAATTTTAAATTTACATCATCCACGTTATTTTCATGATAAAATTTAATGGTACATAATGTTTTTGATAACCAAATTTTTAAATTTTTTTATAATTAAAGTTGGAAACGCAAGGAAGATTGGTGGCAGACTTCAAGGTAAACTATTCACGAGAAGGGGTGGCTTTTATAACTCCAAAAAAACGCCTATTTTACCCATTCACTATATAAGCCATCTCCCCTCTCTCCCCCTTCTCTTCCTTCATTCCCCCCCTCCCCACCATACTCTAATTTTCTCAGTCTCACTCTTACTTTCTCTCTCTTACTTTTTGTGTTTATTTTTTTTTCTCTCTTTGCTAGAATGGACATGGAATCCCCAGAAGAATTCACTGGCTCCAACGATCACACCCTGATTTTAAGACGTAAGCGTACTAAGCGAGAAAGGCCTCCCTCTCCCTCTCCCCCGGCGCCAACAACCTCTACCGCCTCTAGCGGTGGCGGTGGCGGTGGCAGTGGAGATTTTTATTCTTCTTCAATTCCATCTCCGACAACCTCCTCCGGTGAGATTTCCACTAGCATGGATGAAGATGAAGACATGGCCAATTGCCTAATTCTCTTAGCTCAAGGTGTTGGGCCAACAGGCCCAACAACGCTAGAGGAAGAGGGCACAACAACAATTGGAAAAGTCCGGTTCTATGTCTATGAGTGTAAGACTTGCAACCGGACTTTCCCTTCATTCCAGGCCCTTGGGGGCCACCGAGCCAGCCATAAGAAGCCTAAAGTGGAAGAGAAGAGGATAATTCTTGTGACACCGCCATCACCAGAAGAAGAAAAAGAAGAAGAAGCGCGATTCAATAAATTTAGTCCACCACCTCCTTTGCTTCAAACGGCTACCAAATCTTCGTTTATCAGTAACAAGCTTAAGGTACATGAGTGTTCGGTATGTGGATCGGAGTTTTCCTCCGGGCAAGCCTTGGGTGGTCATATGAGGCGGCACAGAGCTCCTCCGAACACCAGAATCACCATGATCGCCGATACAAGCCCTATTGAATCCCAGAAAGAAAGTGACAAGCCAAGAAAGATACTATCACTTGATCTCAACCTACCAGCACCACTAGAGGATGATGATGGTCATGATCACATAGATTCCAGGTTTCAATTCACACCAAACAAACAAGGTCTTGTATTCTCCGGCCCGGCCTTGGTGGATTGCCATTACTAGCTAAAAAAAAAAAAAAAAAAAAAAACAAATGTACCATTATTATTAATCAACTATTGTTTATATAGTAATTAATTCTTTGAATTATTTCTCTTTTTGTTTGTTTGTTTTGGGTTATTTGTTTTATTTAATTTTTTTCCCTTAAGTTGATGATCTACTTGTTGAAGATGAATTCTTTGAGTAAGTAAGTGGTTAGTGTTGATGGTTGCCTTTCATTCACGAAAAGTGAGTGATGATGGCGCATCTTTTCATTTTCTTTTTCCCTTTTAGAATTGAATAACTTAACGAATATAAAATTTAATTATTGAATTAAACACAAAATATATAACAGATGAGATTTTTTAAAAAGTACTGTCATATATCACATAAAATTTTCATCAATTTTTTTCACTTTCTAGCGACTTCTAAATTGGTTTGATAAGTTTCACTATTTTCACTTATGTACAAACATATAACAAGTAAAATAAATATAAATAACATTTTAAAAAAAAACATAACCTTACTTATAAGTTTTATAAAATTTTATGTATTTATATATATTGATAAGTTTAAGTTTATATATATATATATAAAGAAATCTGTTAAAACTTTTGTTTTGGTTCTTTATGAGTGGGAGAGATATGCATTACACGAGAGAGATGGGATGTCATGGCTAGGGTTTGGCAGCACCAGCACCACAACAAAAAGTCGTGGATTAGGTTCCTTTTCTCTTTTTCATTATTTATTTATTTATTTATTTACCTTCTGGTTTTTTTGTTTTGATGAGAAGTTCCTCTTGTTTTTTTATTACAATAAATCTATATAAATATAAAACCCCCATCTTTCTATGGTCTGTTTCATTAAATGACAAAGATTTAATGGATAGGATGGTGAGTTGGTAACAGCCTCTCTCATATATTATGTATCCATCTCTGTATTTTATTTTCATTTTGTTTTCTTTACATAATTTTTTTTTTCTCACTTTGTTGCTGATTTTATGAATGATTCACTTCGCTCGCTCGCTCGCTCGCTCACTCACTCACTCACTCACTTGTAGCTCTCAGACCCACCTATTACACCTAATTAAGCAACCAATTGAGTCATCCCATTCTTCACAAGTTAACTAACTAACTCATGAAAATGATTTAATGTGTGTGTACACATATTGGGTCCATCCTCATCCCACTGTCCCCTTTTAATTTTATTTTAGTTTTTGATGCATATCCATTTCAAAATTAGCTCATGTCAACTAACAAACAGTTGAGTATGGAGTCTACGAATTTAAGGCTCAACCAAATCACTATTTTTCTCCGGTGTAGATATATGTACATATTTCATACATATAAAAAAACTAGATAAAAAATGTAATTTAAATTCAATTCTTATATGATGGCGCACAAACCTTAAATGAATCTGGCCATGTTTGTTTGGGCGGACTGGATTAGCATTCCCATGACTAATAGTCCTAGGGGTACAAATCCATTGGATTATGTATCCTATCTTAACTAATAGTCAAGTTTAAAATAATTAGTCCGTACTTTAATTGTTTAATCAAACATTGGATTAGTAATTTTATTGGACTATTAGTCCAATCCCAAGCTCATGTCCACCCAAACAAACATGACCTACATGGATTATGTGTCCGTTGCATTGTTGCTTTTTTTTTTTATAACGCAATTATGTTTTGATAACTCACTAATTTTAATATTGACATGATTAAATTGTCATTAAATGTTGCGTGAATCTTACTTATAACATGGCTTGTCTTTTTTTAAATCATTCTAGTAGGTTGGAATTTTATTTTATTGTTATAAATTTTATTAATTTATATAAAATATATTTTTTAGAACGTATATATATTTAGGAGAGAAAGGGACATAAAATAAATTAAAAAAAAGAAAAATAAAAGTGAGGAAGAGATGAGTAACTTAACTCACTCTTCTTCAAGTGTTTGAGAGGGAGAGAGAGAGACATTGACATTGGCACATGTATGGGGGGACTAAGTTGTCAACATGACCTTCCATTTTCATTTTCGAAAAGAATATAACAACTAAACACTTAATAAGGTACCCCTTATTGGCCACTCAACTGATTCAATAGACAATATAATTATATTATTAGAAGAGAAATGCACTCAAAAGGTCAATGATGTAAAAAGCCTACGTGTCCATCACTTGCCTACAAATTTGTTGAATTAATTGTGACTCATCACAACGTATGAGCAATAATAAATAAAATTTTATACATAATTCTCGTACAAAATGATATAAGTGATCCATTCATTATGAAGATATGAAAGTAAAAATGAATAACCACATTTAATTCCTTTTATTATTTATCACTATGTTTCAAGTGGCAATGTGGCAAAAAGAATAAAAAAGATTATTTGACTTATCCACGAAGAATAGAAGCCATGTATATATAATAAATTTGTGATACAATTTAATAAACCATATAAATAAAGAAATAATAATAAAACATTAATTGACACAATCACAGATTATATACATAATACTAAAAATAAAAAAAATTTATGTACTCTAATTTTTATATTCAACACTCCCCCTCAAGCAATTGTGAAGATATTCAATAATCGCAGCTTGCCAATGAATGACTGGAAGAAGCCGAAAAAAATTCAACGGCTAGTCCAAATATATGCTACCGAACAAATCTAGTAGTCTACTAAATAAAAAAGGTCAAAAAATGCTTAATACATCAATACTACACCCTAAAAAGGAAAAAAAAAAAGAAAAAGAAAAAGGACTAAACTGCTCTAGAAGAGTTGCCAAAACATCTATGGCCAGGAAACACCCTGGTCGGCATCCAATAAGATCTTGGTCGACATTAGAGGCCGGAGCTAATGCCTGGAGATAGTTTATAGTTGTGTCAAACCATTGTAGAAACTAGTCGGAACTAATGTCAGAATAGTTTAAGGTCATGCTAGACCGTTGTAGGAACTGATTGGAATCAATGTCAGGACAGTTTACGGAGTCATGCTGGACCATTGTAAGAACTAACCGGAATCAATGTCGGGACAGTTTAAGGAGGTTATGTCACACCGTTGTAGAGATTAACCAAAATCAATGTCGAAACCGTTTAAAAGGGTCATGTCGGACCGATATAGAGAACTGGATGTTGATCCAGCAAGCGTGGCACACACACATATAACTTATGACGTCGTGTTGAACAATGATAGCAACAAATAATTGAGTGCGCCAAGGGGCGGCTTATTAGAAAGTACGCCAAAGGGGGCGGCTTTAGTTGTGCGCCATAGGAGGCGGCTTAAGTGGTGCGCCAAGGGGGCGACTTGGGTTGTGTGCCAGAGAAGGCAACTTAGGTCATTCACATGGTATATCTCCATACTCACCATAATATAGGTATAATATCCACCTCAAACTCAAATAGGTTTGAAGAAACATATTTGAGGTTGAAATAAAGGAAAAGACAAAGTGGAATTGAAACACACAAAAAAATGAATTGTGAGTAAAATAAAAAATATGATAGAGATATTTGGAATATGAATAAACTAGTGGATAGAGGTAGATATCACAATGAAGTGATACTGAAAGAAAATATAGCAGTGGAATGGGTTGAGGGCCGATGAAGCAAAATTACTAGCTATGAAGCATGGGTACTTCAAAAAATATGTCGTACTCGTACCGGGTACTTACCGGCGTATGGTACCTCGTATGGTACTTCTGTATACGTACCGGGTACACGAAACACGTATCCAAATTTTTTCTTCTTAATTTTTGGCATACCCAGACGTACGTAGCATATACCCAAGGTGTACCGTACCTCAATTGAAATAATATTTTCTTCTACTACAGAAATAAAACTCCTTCCACTAGATTCCTTTTTAATTTTTAATTTTTAATTTTATACATAGCATGATTTTAAAATTAAGCTATAGTTTATAAGTTATTTAATATATTGACATTTAATTTTGATTTATACCTTTAGTTTTAGAATTAAATGTTAATTATAGGTTGGATCTTAACAAATTACACTATTTAATTAATTTTTGTATTACTCTAAACTAAAAATAAATATTTTTTTTACAAGCGTACCAAGCCGTACCCGTATCCTACTTTTTTTAGATTTTACCGTATCGACGTACCCGTATCGTACTAGTACCAGTACTCGTACTCGTACCCGTGCTTCATAGATTACTAGGTACTTAACCTAATTCTGACTCCAAAAAGAATTATTTGGCTTACCTATGAATAGTAGAGGTCATGTATATATATAATATATTTATGATACAATTTAAGAAGCGATATGAATAAGAAAGCAATATTAAATCAATGATTTACATAATTACAGATTATATACATAATACTAAAAATAAAAAGATTATATATACTCTAATTTGTATATTTAATATGGCATAATCTTTATTTAGTGATAGAGACAAAAGGCCTCAAGTTGTTTGAAGCTTTTGTGACATGTAATGTCCCCTAAGCTAATATTATACAATACCATGGCATTTGCCACCATTACATTCCATATTCTTTTCTTTTTTTTTTTCAAAAAAAAAAAAAAATGAAATCTAAAATCTTCTCTAAATAATGCTTATTTAGAATTTGTGTCAAGTTTAGGATTAAATGTGGGTAATTCAGTAAAATGTTGGTGCTAAAAATAAATATGGCACTGGGGTGAGACTTGTAATTGAGATTTTTAGTTTGCTTAGACATTGTGCTGTACAGTCTTGTGTTGGCAATGAGCATAATATGTAGAGAAAGTGAAATACCTAAAACAAAAAATTAATGCTATACAAATAGAATTTTTATACAAAATTTATAAGCATCACTTCAGCTCATAATTTAAAATTTTAAAAAAATGTTATTGCTATACCATTCGGGCTATAATTTTTGCGTAAACGTCCTATTTGTTTACTAATTTCTTTGTAAAGAAGAAAGTGGGCCTATGGTGCCATAATTATCTTTTCTTTTCTTTTCTTTTTTTGTCAGCACAATTACTTGGTAAACTAACACTCGAATTAGTATTTGGTTCACAAAAATGAAACAATTATTCTGTCAGAATATGCCTACACGTATTTGGTTCGATAAAAATGAAACAAACATATATTTTAAATTGAATCACTATTCACTAATTTATGAGAATGGTCATCTCATTTGACTTACATTCAAAATTATTCCAATC